GGAGATGTTTGCGAACTAATAAAGTTAAACCCTTTAAACCAAAGATTTTACACACTTTGGAAAACGGAGATGATGTTAGACGATTAGAATTCTGCTTATGGGCTCAAGCAGAGTATTTAAATAATAGAAATTTCTTAAAAGAAATTTTATTTAGTGATGAGGCAACATTTAGTACAAACGGAGTAGTATCCTCTCAAAATTCGCGATTCTGGGCAGTCGAAAACCCTGAATGGGTGATCAATACAAGAAGACAGTATTCTCAGAAATTAAATGTGTGGTGTGGCATACTTGATGATAGAATCATTGGTCCATATTTTTTTGAGAGAAATTTGAATAGTCCAACGTTTTTGAATTTTCTGATTAATGACTTTTGGGATGCAATACATAATTTACCATGCCAAACCCGTTTGAATTTAAAATTTCAATTGGACGGATCACCTGTGCATAACGCGGCAGTTGTCAGGGAATGGTTAAATGAAAATTTTGAAAATAAGTGGATAGGTCGAAATAGCCCGCTAATTGAGTGGCCACCGATATCCCCGGACCTAACACCCCTTGATTTCTTTCTTTGGGGTTTCTTAAAGCAACAAGTTTACAAGTCTAGACCTCAATCTGTAGATGAACTACGTATTAGAATTACAGAGGCTTCTGCAAATATTACACCACAGCAGCTTAGGAATGTAACTGTTAATCTAAGAAGAAGATGCGACAAATGTATTGAACTGAATGGAGGGCTGGTAGAAGCAACTAGAATTATTTGAATATGTTTAACTTATTATTCGGTTATTGTGTTGCTTGTAGTATTTTTATCATTGTTTGTAATAAAACTCGTTGTCGTGGATTGTTTTTTTCAAGGGTTACGTGATAACTCATCGTTAAATTGGCAAAAATAGGGAATTATTTAATTTAACTGCAGAATTATTAATAATTAATATTTTTAAACAAAATTTGGTACAGAACTGTTTTGGGGGATGCCGAATGTAGGGGTGTACTCAAATTTTTTGAAAAAAAATCGCTAATATGATTTTGCAAATTTTTCACCACAAAAACTTTATTAAGTAGGCCTAGTTTTTTGTGAAATAACATGACATTGAGCCCTAAAGTACATTTTTTGAAACTTTATATTTGAAAAAAAAATCATAAAATCGGACTATAAACACAGATTTTATGGAGGGTGCCCGGTCTTGAGTGGGTCACACTGTATGTACATACACGTTTAAAATATATATATTTACATTATTTTTTATTTAATTATACATTATACACACGTTAATAAATAAATAATTGTCTTGATGATCAGTCCACTGTGACTGTTAAATAAATTTTGCATTATCGACTTAGATATTCTATTATTATAAAGATGAGACTATAGAATACAAAATTGTATATGCATTACTCAAAAATGATCGATATATTAGTTTACGTTTTAATAAATATTTTGTTTCGTCTAGGTACAAGCTAATTTAAATTTCGGTGGTGACAAGTGGCCTCACTTTCAGCTGCCGTGTTACCTGTCCCCTCTCTTTCCTTGTCTAAGTTTTCCTTGAATCCACCGCCCAGTATAACAGTTTGATAAAAAAAAATCTAAATTTATCTAAAAATGAAGTATTTGAACATGTCCAATTGGATAAATCGAATCAGTCGTTTGAACAAGAGAGATAAGGACAATGGCTTCGGCAAATCGATTCGATACATTTGAGATGCGAATCGTCAACAGTTTCCTCTGGCGTTGACAGGAGACGAGTACGTAATACACGTCAGCGTGTTCCAGAATAGGGGAGACGCGAGTAAACCAGGGGAGAGGGGGACAAAAAGAAACAAGAGGAAAGCGAAAACGTCGGGGAATAATGCAGATGAAATTTGCCAGATTAAAACTCCGATCTAAAAATGAAACAAACGTAAATGATTAAGAATATAATCGTGATATGTGTTGCAATGTTTATTTTAGAGGCAAGTTATGGAATAAAAAATTCTCTGCCAACATAAATAAGTTGAAAAAACTATACAAAACAATTTTAGTTATAACGTTGTCTTTAATTTTGAATTTTCAATTTAAGTTTTGAAATGCGTGTTTCACATAATATTATTATAATATTATGTGAAAAAAATAAAAAAAAATGTAAAATATAAATATAAAATTAAAGAATGCATAGAGAAGCTGAATAAATTAGGCAAAGAAAACAAAGTCCTCCTACACTGGGTGCCTGCTCACCGAGGGATAGAAGGCAATGAAAAAGCAAATAATCTAGCTAGGAAAGGAGCGAACACTCCACTAACTGGACCAGAACCGTTCTGCTTTCCAAGTGGTAACCAACTCAAGGCGGAACTCAAGAACTTGGAAGATTCCATCCGCAACCTGGAATGGAAATCTTGCAATGGTCTAAGACACTCGAAGAATTTTCTGAGGGCTTATGATCAAGAAAAATCACAGAACTTCCTGGGTCTGAGTAAGAACAATCTTCGGATTGTCACGGGGTTTTTAACAAGACACTGTCTCCTCAATGAACACCTCAGTAGATTGAAACTAAGAAGAAACGGCGAATGCAGATTCTGTGGGGAAGATGGGGAAACACCAGTACAGCTCATCACTGAGTGCGCCGAGACGACAACCATTCGTGCCATGAATTTTGGTACGACTGATATTGGAGATGGAGAACTACCCTCTATAAAACCGTCCCAGATACTGGCTTTTGTCAAAGCCCTGGGACTGTATGATGAGTTATGATTCAAGAAAGGGGGACACAATGGATCTGTAAGGTCGAAGTGATTAAACCTCCTCCCACTAATTCTAAATTCTAAAAAAATTCACATAATAGCTAGAATATACGGGGTGGTCCAAACTGTATTCGGGACACTTCGGCAGCATATTCTGCAGATAAAAATTAGTAAAAAAAGTTCGTATAAATGTATCTCCTAAAACGCTTAGTTTCGCAGATACAGGGTGTAGAAGTTTCATTTTTATTTCGATTTTTTCCAATTAATTTCTGAATTAACGGCAATATTTTGATCAAAATTGGTGTCTGGAAGTTTTTTGACAGGACAAATTGATTGATTTTGATGTCAATATGATTCCTACTTGTAGAGGGCACCCCCTTCATATTTTTTAACTAGTTTGAAAAGTAATAACTTTTCGTCGGTACCTGTATAAAACAAACGAGTAAAAAATATACATTTATGATGTTTTTTACGCAAAAAATGTCTCTTGGTAAAAAACGCTACGTGTAATGAAATTACCAATACTTGTTATCATTGTCATAAATTAAACATTTTAACTAATAAATAGTTATTGGACTGAAATCATAAATTTGAAATGTTTTTGCGCCAAAAGTTCAACAGAAACTGCCTTATCGTCATATTTTTTTACTCGGTAGTTTTATACATGTACGGACGAAAAGTTATTACTCTTCAAGCCAGTAAAAATATGTAGGTGGCGCCCCCTACAAATAAGAGCTATATTGACATCAAAATCAAATTTCTCATGTCAAAAAACTCCCAGACATCAATTTTCATCCAAATATTGACGTTACTTCAGAAATTATTTGGAAAAAATCGAAATAAAAATGAAACTTCTACACCCTGTATGTCCGAAACTAAGCATTTTAGGACATACATTTATACGAACTCTTTTACGTATTTTTATCTGCAGAATATGCTGCCGATGTTTTCGGAATACAGTTCGGACCACCCTGTATATTTCTAATTAAAACTAATACCAAATTTTAACTATTTTATTTTTTCACTCCTGACTATCCCATCTAGCTGTAGCCAACAGCTATAGAGGACCAGAAATGTTAGTTTTCTTGTTTTTAAAATTAAAATTTTTAATATTTCAATTTTTTTTCATCATGGCACCCCCCTGTCGATTTTGTCAAAAACCGAAATCTCTCAGATCGCAACTAAAATGTTCCTACTGATAGTTCATTTTATCTAGAATTGACTGCCGCAAACTGTTTTCCGAATTCTCTAACAGATTTCGAGTTATTTGAGAAAATCTACAAAACAGATATTTTTTTTCTGTTTCCCGAAATATTTAACGCGAAATATCCCTGGAACAAAAAGTGTCAATCTTAAAAACGACACGGTTCTGTAAAGTACACATTCAGCACTACAACATATTACCAAATAAGCAAAATCGATTTTTCAAAATTTTTCGAAAACATTTCTCGGCACCCCCTGTCGATTTTGTCAAAAACCGAAATCTCTCAGACCGCAACTAAAATCAAAATTCCTACTGATAGTTCATTTTATCTAGAATTGACTGCCGCAAACTGTTTTCCGAATTCTCTAACAGATTTCGAGTTATTTGAGAAAATCTACAAAAGAAATATTTTTTTCTGTTTTCCGAAACATTTAACACCAAATATCCCTGGAACAGAAAGTGTCAATCTTAAAAACGACACGGTTCTGTAAAGTACACCTTCAGCACTACAACATATTACCAAATAAGCAAAATCGATTTTCTAAAATGGTCTCTTTCTCTATTTTAACATCCAGTATATCCTCCACTGCAGCAACGAATCCTTCGGGAGAGCAGTCCTCCGGGATAGATACGTCCACTTCCTTGAAAGACAGTTCGAGGCAGAAGTTTGTAATTAAGCCCTCGGAAGGAATCTAGTAATTTGGGATTTGGAACTTTAAAGAGACATCAATTATTAGTTGGCGTAGTTTCCGTGAGACGGCGCCATAGAACACTTAAGAGGCTTGATAAAATATGCACGGAGCGGTAGAAATGGTCAAATACAGAAAGCAAATACAAATAAAGGAGAATATATATTAATAGTAAGAAGTACGAGGATTATAAAACTTAAATTTGATAAGTTTGATGACGTTAAGTTGTTCAATGTTTGTTAGACGTTAAGTTTGTAAGAAGTATTTGTTGTTGATTTTAGTCATTATTCTTTTTAAATCAAAGTAAAATAATATAATTACTCATATCATAACATCTAGTACGCTGAATATTTTTACTGAACCACTACACAAAAAAGACATATAAAAGTACATTTACATAAAAAAAAACTTTATTTTTCATTTATTAATACAAAAAATTACAAAACATTATCAACTTTCTCGTTGTTTTTGATAATACCAGCTGTCAGTTTGCTACGAATCTTCGAAACAGTATCTCTTTGTTTTTCTTTAATTTTCTCAAAAGTCGATGCCAAATTTTCGGGTTTTGGACTACTACCACTTGACTCAGTACTAGAAGAAACTTTAACAGAAACATCTACCGGCTTCGAAGTAGAAGTCGTTGAAGAAGGTCCCAAAACAACTATAGGAACCTTAGTAGTAGTTGTAGTAGTTCCTTTAGTAACATGAGACAAAGTTTTTATTTTAAAATCATCTACTTCTTTTCTATTAGCGTTATTTTTTATCTTTTTCTCGTTGAATTCATCCAATCCAATTCTGTTCTGGAGTTTGACAGGAGATCCAACCCTCTCTGAGGCGTTTCTGTTCAACAACATCTTTTTCTTTAAGTCGTTTTTTCTGATTTGGAGTTTTTTCGATATGGCGTCTTTTTCGAAGGCTGATCTTCCTTTGAGTTGTGGTTTGACAGCTATTTTTGATTTAAAATCTTTGATTCGGTTTTCTAATAACTTCAATCTAAAAAAAATAAACTTTTTATTATTTTTTTTATCAAATCTAGATGTATTTTTATGTGTTATATACTTGTATAATCCGCTATGCTAATTTCCTGATTTATAATTACTATTTTTAGCTCTATGAACTAGAATGAGTGGGAGGGGGGTTAATCACTTCGATCTTACAGATCCATTGCTCTATGAACTAAATAAACTCGTATTTTTAACCACTCAGTATAGATTATAGTAATATAAATATATATTTTTTCAAATGTCACAAAAGTATTAATTTTTACCACGTGATTGACAATATAAAAAAGTCATTTTAACGCCTAGGCATAAAAGTAAAGCACTTTAACGCCTAAGTACAAAAGTACGAAAATGTATTATCAAACTGACGTAAAGTGTCAAATTCAACGAGCGTAACCATAGTTCCTCAATCTATAATTACATACAAGGTATTACTTTTAAACCTTTTTATATTATTTGGAACTTTTGAAATTGTTTAAAAACTTATTTGTGGCGTTTGAAAAAAATAGCATGTTCTATTCGGAGTAAAAATTACTTTTTGTGGCTCACCTGTATGTCAAACGGACAGCCTCGCCACATAAAGTGTCATTTTTACTCTTAATAAAACAACATACCATTTTTAAATGTGAATTTTACGAAAAAAATAAAAAATTTATACTGAAATCCATTTAAAAAACTGCAAATTAAATAAAGTAGTGTAAAAATATATTTGAAACACCCTGTATATCTTTGAAAATGGTTTTAAAACGTGTGCTGCTATTGCTAGTATATTTTTCAAAAAATATTTCTCTTAAAAATATTACAAATATACTTTTTGAGAAGTATTTCTGAAAATATATAATATTAAACAATATTATAGGTGTAATAAATAATATTTTATACAAAAAAAACATAAATATTGTAATAATTTAAGACATTAGGTACTATACTTTAAAAAAAACGCTTAAAAATTAATAATTTTTGTCTATAATAATCAATTAAAGTTATTTAAACGCATTTCTACAATTATTTATTACAATTTATTCCATAAAACACCCTCAAAACCCTAAAAAATACATTAAAAACAATAATTTCCAATAATAAACTATTTAATTGATCTAAACCAAGCCTAAAAATTAACGAAACTTTAGTCTAAACCAGGCCTTAGCGCTCTCCACCACAGAGCAGATACAAATTCCACACCCCGCTGGCACATCGCGCCGCGTAGCGCGTGCCGCGAAATTTTGAAAAGTTAGCCATGGACGGCTCAGTTACCAAGACAACTGAAACAAAAAACTATCTACGATAACAAACGGCCATGTTCTTCTTAGCAACAAGTTGAATCTTTTCATTTACTTTGTGTTAAATTAATTTTAAAACGTGTTTTTAGCGGGTGGACTTAAATATAGTGTTTTCTCGTGTTCTTGGACTGATTTCAAAGTGCGTAAGTGTTTTTCTGGATGTTCTTGTAAGTAATTGCATGTTTTTAGTAGTTTTGCATGAAAATTTAGTGATTTTTAGAATGTTTTTGAATCTTTCTAAACGGCATATATTTTTGTGCTATGTATTTATGTATGAGATGGGCATACATAATTAATAGAAAAATTAAATTTGAAATTGCACGAACGCAGTGTTTAAAAATGCCGGAATAAAATAATATTAAACAAATAAATGATGCATTATGTATTATTAGTGCGTTTTGAACATACCTAGCTGGGGATGAATGTTAGGTATATTTTTATATTTTTTAAAATTTTTCTTTTACACGGTTTTTGAAGATATCTTTTGTGTTCATTTGAACTTATTATAGATACTTTATTTTTATATAGGGTGTACCAAACAAGCATGGATAAAATTCATCACATACTATAAAGTTAAATATGGATTTATTTTACTTATATTACTTTAGTAATTAAAATTAAAACTTACTTAAATACAGCGTGTCAAAATTAATAATAGTTTATTAGTTTTCTATGTGGCAGGTATGTTTTGATAGAAATATAGGTAGGTAAAATTTAATATACAGGAGAGTTTTAAAGATAAAAAGAAATTTGGTAAGATTTTTTAATATATTTGTATGTCGAACTTACTATATACTATATTTTTATACAGGGTGTAACTCTATATTAAGTTTCCTATTTGAAATTATCATATCTTAAAACAATTTTCTGTAGATCTACAGGGTGGATCAAGTATATTTTTATAACTCAACTTATATGCTGTATTTTTATATAGGATGTTCCAAACAGGTTTTTACAGAATTCTACCACATATTATAAAGTTAAATATAGATTTTTTCTTTTTATTATTTAAATACGTAAAATTGAAAGCTACTGATATACAGGGTGTCATATTTAATGATATATTTTCTATTTTCTGTACTATTTCTTGATATTAGTATACAGAGGTGTATCTGTGGATGAAAATATTATTATATTTGTATAAAATTCTATTTTAGATGGTTTTTAGGGATATGTTTTGTATCATTTGAACTTAGTTACTATATATTTATACAGAGTGTCCCAAAACAGTATGTATAGAATTCTACCACATATTATAAAGTTAAATTTAGATTTTTCCTAAGTTACTGAGGTACAGAGTGTCAATTTTGATGATATATTTTTAATTGTCGATACTATTTTTTGATATTAGTATACAGAGACATATATGTGGATGAATACATTAGTATTATATAGTTGATTCTACGAATTTTTATACACTTTACCTGTCGTTATGGCTGTCGGCCATTTTGGGTTTTATCTGAATTCTGGAAGGTATTTTTATGGGTTTTGTCAATTCAGGCAGCGATATAGGCTTGAAACTGATCTTACCAGTCAGTTTTTTTCTTTTAACCATATCCGACACTGTTTCTCTCTTGGATCTTGGAAATCCATGGTTTCCATCTAGAAATATCAATTTTATAGAGGGTGTTTCAAAAAACATGTACCTTCTTTCATAGAGAGATTCCTCACGTAAAAATACGATTTATTTTTTATATCAACATAGGTCCAATTCTGCTTTGTTTCGTAGCTACAGGGTGTTAAAGTCTTATTTTTTTTTCGATTTATTATAATTTTCTTCCAAGTACTTTTAGCGATTCGAATAAAATTTTGAGGGTCAAAATTATCATAAAATATTTAAATTGAAAGATTATTACGACTTTAACACCCTGTAGCTACGAAACAAAGCAGAATCGGACCTATGTTGATACCACGAGAGATGTTATGTTTTTGAAACACCCTGTATAATTTTTTTAACTTAAAAATACTTATTTACAAACATAGGTAAGTAAAAATTATTAAAAAAAAGAATTAAGTGAAAAATAAATTAAAATTAAACTCACCCAATGAAATGACAATGAAAAACAGAGCAAAGACTAAAAAATGAGCGGGGTACTTCATTTTTTTCGAGTAATTTACTGTCTATGTGTGTCAACCGTATGCGAAAAAAAACGGCGTCAATTTGTCCACTCCGCTCGGTCAAAATTTCCAATTAATTCGGTGTTATTTACAAGTAGCTGGCGAATTTTCGCTGACTGTTAATGTTAATAATATTTGTTTAAACAAACTAAACTAACTGTATGACCCATATAGCGAAATATACATACGCGAGCGCAAATCAAAATATTTCGTTTTCAATTACAAGCAATCTATGGCAATTGGAATTCGTAAATTTTTCGATGTGGCGTATTGTGTATTATAGAATTAATTGGTTTGGAATAATTTGCAAAAGCTACACGGGAAAGACGAATTACATGTAGAAATAAATTTAAAATAGTATCTTCTGTGGTAATCTCTAACTTTATTTTGAACTGTATTTTAAACTGTTTTTTTTGTTATAGTTTTATAACAGATCTTATTTTTTTTATAAGCCAGATTAATTATTAATAAAAAATGAATCTAAATAGCGTAAACAAATGGATTAGTTAGACCAAAGTTTACAGAATATACAGGGTGGCGCCTCTCATACGCCGCGGAAGCTCCAAGGAGAACGGTAGTTTATATCGAAATTAAATTTTGACAGCATATGTAGATTAATTGAAATTGCATTTTATAAAAATATATAGAATTATACAGGGTGTTCCCAAAAAAAGTTACACATCAAAGTTGTGTTTTTTTCTAATGGAACACCCTATATATTAATTGATTTTCGGATTCTAGGAAAAAAATAAAGGTGAGTTATTAAAGAAGTATATACCTAAAATCGAAGGATTTTGATATATTTCACATTGTGTGAAAATGAAGAGTAAATTTTAAATTTCGATAACAGCTACCTAAATTTTACTTGACCTTGTATAGCCTGATATTCAATTACAGTAACCATTGTATGTTAAACCAAATTGAAATTTGACCCGAAAAGTTATACAGGGTGAGACAAAATTAATATGGAACATTAGTCACTTTTAAAAGCAAGTTACTCCTTTATTTTAAATGGAACACCCGGTATATTTTTACGGTGTTCAATGGGGAATTTATATATCTTCAAAATATTATTAAGGTTGCCTAACTCTCAGACAAAGATTTTCCTAGATATTTTAATTTTTATTTATTATTTATTATTTTTATTATTACAACTTTGATATGTAACTTTTTTTGCGGACACCCTGTAGAACTCTATATTTTAAAAAAGTGCTCTGAATTAACCTACATATGCTCACCAAATTTCATTTCAATTCCCTGTATATACAATATATTCAAATATTTATTTAATGATAAATAAAAAACCGTGGAATAGAACAAGCCTTAAAAAACAAGGTATCAAGTAGCATCCTCGTCCATAATAAATTTATTTATAACATTTTATTTTTGCGCCATTGCAAAACACACATAATTAATTTATTAAATTCAGCCCGGAAACATTATATTCAATAAATATAATTATTTATTTGGCGTAAGCGTATACGAATATTCCCCGTTTAAACAAAATAAATTTATTATTAACATTTAACATCCCCCAAAATAACCGTTCAAATGCCAAGATTTAAATCAAAATCATTTCCTGGCCTCGTATTATTTTACGCAAAACAATACAGATGCGTATCGGTTTAGTTTGATAAGTTGTTTATATTAAAGTCCATTTAGGGGTTTGCAATAATCATCGTTATTGGATAATTATTAATTGAGAGAGGAACGTGTAGTTTTCAATATTAATAATAAAATCTCTGTAAAATTTAGTTGAAAGTACTTGATTTTAGGTTTTTAGATTGAAAAATAATTTATATTTTTAGGAGTCAATTTCACTAGTCCAAAAAAGTAGCAAAATAAGCGTTCGGCATTTAACGTTTTATGTAAAACTGAGGCTAGGTATTTTTACCACAGATGGAGAAGGAAATTAAAGATATACTGTATCCGTACTGTAGCACATTTTTAGACAACTTCTTTATTTTTGAGAATTTATTATTACTTTTAAATATTTACTGAAGTTTATTTATCGATCAGTTATTGTGTTGCAATAATAAAAATAATACTACCTCATAGAGCGTGTCTAAAAAATTGTTTTAAATAATTTCTAGCTTTAAACGGCCATAACTTGTTTAATTTAAATGGAACACCCTGTATATTTTAGGATAATCAGATGCACAATTTAATTGTCTATCAAATTGTATTATACTATTTTTACCTATCCCTTCAAGTTTTCGTAGAAAATGCATTTTCTTATAATTTAGACCTCATTTATCAATATATCCATGGAATATTGACATTTTAGATTGTTTTTAAAGCAAGAATGTACAAAATGTACAGGTGCTAAAAACGATAATATTACTAGCCCATTTGTATACAAAAAGAAAACTATTTAAATCTTTATAAAAGAGTATACCATTAATTAAATATACCACCATTATTTTCGCCCAAATATTAATATTAATTAATTACATACTTAATTGTGTTAGTTAATAAATGATTCTAAATGAATGTGGATTTGAATGAGAAATTAATATAATAATAAAAATAAGCATTCTTCAAAAAATGAAATCAAATTTTTAAGGTGTCACTTTTTACCACAGTCTAATATACATAAAAAATTCAGCTTTTTAGTTTGGAGCAATTATTATATTATTAATCAACGCAAATAGTCAATTAATGTAGATTGAATACTGGAATCATGTTAAAAAAAGGAACAATCTTTTTAACAAATATTTAAACAGTTTTTTTTTATTTTTTAATGAAATAAGCGAACTATATCGGCAATATTAATATCTGTATCTTTAAAAATTTGTTACATCATTAAAAATAATCTAAAATGTCAACATTCCATGGGTATATTGACAAATGAGGTCTCAATTATAAGAAAATGCATTTTCTACGAAAACTTGAAGAGATAAGTAAAAAATGGTTCAATACAATTTGATAGACAAATAAATTGTGCATTTGATTCTTATAAAATATACAGGGTGTTCCATTTAAATTAAACAAGTTATTGCCGTTTAAAGCTAGTAATTATTTAAAATAAATTTTTAGACACTCTGTATAAGGTAGTATAATTTTTATTATTGCACCATAAAATTTAGTAAATAGAAATACTTACAGTACAATATTTCGTTTTAAAAACTTAAATACACTTAGAGAAATGAAGCATTAAAATTATTACTGTATTTTGACAAAAACCTAAATATTTCAAAAATGGTAAGATTAAAATGCGGTAAACCTTAATCAAATTTACCTTTATTTTAATAGTAGAAAGTAAAAATGTAATAATATACAGGGTTATCCATTTAAAAAAATAAAACTTTGATATTTTTTATTTATTAGGGACACTCTGTATCTTGTAAAAATATTTTTAAATTGTAGCTCTAATAGTCCTTCAACAAACCCAAAACTTATAATTTGCAAAAATCTAATCGTTTAGCTACAATACTCCATGTTGTATGTGGTGAACTACCCTGTATATATATATTTTTTTATACGCAACGCTTTTGACACGAATAAATAAAATCCCCAGAATCTGTAATGGAAAACAGCAACCTTAAACTATATTGGGATAAACTTATTTTAACAGATAAAACAGTGTTACATAATAAACCCGATATACTCTGGATAAACAAGGACAAGAAAGAATGCTTCATAATTGACGTAGCCGGCTTACCATTAGACCAGAATCTTCAAAAAACTGCAACAGAAAAAATACAGAAGTATCAAGGTCTTACTGCATATGAACTAAAGAGAATATGCCAGCTCAATAAAGCCATGGTTTTACCTTTTGTACTCTCTGCCAATGGACTTCTTCATAGAGATTTTACAAAGAATACGGAATATTATTGAAATTAAACCCAAAGCTTACCAACTTGGGTGCTTAAAAGCACCCATATTGGGCACAGTGAGAATTGTCCGAAAAGTGCTTAATATTTAAAAGACCTTGAACTAGAGCAAATCGTGAATTAATAGTTATTTTTTATAGAAGACGATAATGCAATTTTATCGGCATGTATAAAACAAAATTTTTTCCATAGCGAGTTACTTTTTAAAAAATATTCAGAAGTTATTATTTCAAAGAATTTATTACAAGTAGAAAAAATATTGTGCTGGGTTGTTGTTGGTTTTTATGTAATTTGACAAATAAATAAAGCTGTCTCTTTAGTTGTCAGTTTTGAGTCAATATTTTTTAATTCTCTTTCGTGTCGATTGCTAATTGAATTGGAGACAGAAATGGCTCAAAACGAAATAAGTAAATAACCGGCAGATATTCAGGCTGAGGCGACAAACGCCATATCCAAACTACTTCCATTTAAATCCCGAATAATTTATGAAAAGGAATACAAAAATTTTCAAAAATGGAGGCAATTAAAAAACGCGCGAGAAGAAATAAAGTTTTTAACCTATCCTCGCTGTTAAAGTATCATTTAATCTACTATTTTTGTAATATATAAGACAATTTTAACAGTTGCTATGGGGAAAAATCTGTACGTAATATTATTTTTGTCATACGCTCCCAAAAACAGCTATTTTACGGACTCATTTCAGTCCGTAAAATGTTTCTTTTTCGGCCTAGGCCGTAAAGGTCGTCATGGCAACCTTTATGGACTAAAATGTCTAAATTCGTTATTTGGTTGTTTTATTTTGTCATTCGAAATTTGTCACAAAATCACATAAAATTATACATATATTTATAATTAAATTATTAAATACTAACAATATCAAAAGCTAAGTTATTTGTTTAAAGTAAGTACCTAGGTACCTATTTAAAAGAGGCTTTTAAATTAAAATATTCTTAAATTACAGTCACAAACAAGACATAATCATGTGGTACATTTTTTGGCCTAAGACAAGCATATTTTCTATACAACTCAACTGGATTGACAACGTTCCCTTCGTTCACCACCGGAAACACTCTTTTGATATTAGTTTTGTATCCGCAAGGGTAACTAAAAGGCAGCTGTTGTCTTTTTCTATGATGTCTTGCACTCGTAGAGAGTACAATTCTTCTCTTCTACATGCTCCACAAAGGCCAATGACAAGAGCTACCTAAAAATCAAATACAATGGAATAAGAAACCATCTATATATTTTAAAAATCATTATCGCAAACTTACCTTAGT